CTCTCCAAGGATAGTGCGAAACAACTCCAATAATAACTTCAAGGATAATACGAAATAGCTACAAGGACACGATAAGCTTTCATTGCGTTTAGACGTGCTTAAAATTTTCGCTATGTAACTTCCCCGCTGTCCCGAATGCAAAACCGATGTTACATTGGCCCAGCTTCGCGCTTCGGATGCTGTTCGCTGCTCTTCTTTGTGCCGTCGCGCCTATCATACTTCTTGCGTAGCCCTACCGGACGATGTGCTCAAACTCTTATTAAATCCAAATATACTGTGGCAATGTAATAGCTGTGTGGTTGCGAATGGTTCGCATTCTAAAATCGATGAATTCGATGATAAATTGAAAGCCCTGGAGCGCTTATACCAGGGTCTTCATAATAAATTCTTGGAGGCGTTCCTCCTAAAGATGTTGCATTGAATCAGAATGTAAATTCCAAGCCTCGTCTACCGAGACCTACCAACGTAGCTGCAGCTCCCCAATCATATGCGGCTGCTGCTGCTACGGCTTCCGCGGTCGTTGATCCTTCTACTCATGCTCTGGATATTGAGAGAGGAAATTTCAGACAAGTTCGAAATAAGAGGAGAAGGAACAACAACAAGCCCAATAAACATGTTGTTGGAGTGGCTCCTAATGCCGAAGATCTTCATGTTTTGCCGACCAAGAAATTTTTGCATGTCGGAAAGTTTGCAACTGGTACAGAGCCGAACACTGTTTTAAAATACGTGTCCACCAAGCTTAAGGTGGATACTAGGTCTTTCACTTGTGTAAAACTTGTAAAAAAGATGTTGACGTTACAACTTTAAAGTTTGTAAATTTCAAGCTTGGAATCCCCGATCAGCTTTACGATAAAGTCTTCAAAAACGATTTCTGGCCGAACTCAGTTAAGGTCAAAAGATTTATTCATAGAGAACGGGCCATTGTGGTAGGGCATGGAATCTTATCTAATTTGCCGGAGCCTGGACAAACTTCATCATCAATTCAGCCATCAAAAAACCCCTAGTGTTCGACGCCACTGGCGTCGATACTTTTGCGGGACATCGTCTGCAAGCCTTTCCTCATTTGTCGGAGTCGTTTTCGCAACAACATCGGCAGCTGCTTGCCTTTCTCACTGCGCTCTCTTCATCTCCTGACTCTCTCCTAACGTACCATCGACAACATCAGCCGGAGCTTTTGTTGCCCACTTTGTGCGACATTCGCCGTCCGCCTGGCTCGAATTTCGGCGCGCTCCTCGGAGTTGCGCTCACATCATTATCCGTTGCTCTCCTGATGCTTCATCAACAACATCAGCCGGAGCTTTTGTTGTTTGCTTTGCGCGACATTCGCTGTCCGCCTGGTTCTAATATCGGCGCGCTCCTCGGAGTTGCGCTCTCATCATCTTGCGCCTCTCTCCCGTTGCACCATCAACAACATCAGCTGGAGCTTTTGTTGTCCGCTGTGCGCGACGTTCGCCGTCCGCCTGGTTCTATTATCGGCGCGCTTTTCGGAGTTGCGCTCTCATCATCTTGCGCCTCTCTCCCAAAGTACCTAGATAGTCGGCTGGATTCTTACTCTTCATCGCCTAATAGTTATGCGCTCTTCGCCTCTACCTTTCTGACGTTCGACTTTCTACAACAACTTTTATCGACACATTTGGCTGGATGGCGAGCCTCTCAGAGTGCTCTCTCTGAAGGTGCTCTCTGGAGATGCTTTCGCCATCAACAACAACAATGGACTGCGGCTGCTGTAGTACGTCTCGCTCTTTATTACCAGGAGTGGATTCACCTGCATGCAGTTATATATTGAATGCTAATATTGACTGCCCACCTAATATTTGGAGCGCCGATCACCAGCCTATTCGTATCCGTACCACTACTTTACTGAAGGTTCTTACAAATAATTTTATAAATTATGATAAGATCCCAGCGAGGCCTCTTAAGGATTCGGACCATGATGCTGGACCAATTATTGATAGCATGACCATGGATGACCGGATATGCGCTAACAATACAAATTTCAATATTTATTTTTAAAATATCGGTGGTATGCGTACGAAAGCTCAATCCCTTTTCCAGGCAACGTCTCATGGTGATCATGACGTCATTATTTTTGTTGAAACCTGGCTCAATATGGATTTCTTCGATAATGAATTCTTTGATACAAATCTTTATCATGTGTTCCGTAAGGATCGAGATTCCGTTAAAAAACGATGATCCAGAGGTGGCGGAGTTTTAATTGCTGTCCGGCGTGAGCTGCGTTGCATTGCTATTCGTCTTCAGAACGAGGATTCTCTGCTCGACCAACTCTGTGTATCTCCTGACAGTATCATACATACCCCCAAGCAGCAGTTTTGATTTATATAAAGCGCATGTGGACAACATTGCCCACCTATACCAGGAGCTGAAAGATGGCCAATATATATGTGTTTTGGGCGACTTCAACCTATCTTCGCTCGTGTGGGCTCATGATCTTGAGTCTTCAACAATGGTTTCCAGTAATTTGCATCTTCCCCACGAAATCTTAGTCATCGATGAGCTTCTTAGTATGGGATTAGTCCAGATTAACCATGTATTCAGTAACTTAAATAAGCTTCTAGATCTAATTTTTGTACACCCTGATGTATGCCTTACTTTATGTTGCAGCGACAATCCTCTAGCTGCGTGTGATGCTCATCACAAGCCCCTATTAATCTTAATTACTTGTTATATTTTCTCACCAAATAATTCTCGCTTTCATCTTACCTACATAAATTCTAGCAGTTTAGATTCTATCCGTAGTGATATTTCTAATATCAGATGGAAGTCCTCTCGCATGCGGATGTGAATACAACCTATAAAGTTTTTATATCTTTTCTCTCTACTATTATAGGTAGATACGCTAAAACTAGAGTTCAAAGTTCTTATAGACTACCATGGTACACAAAAGGCCTAAAAAAATACAAAAATCTCCGAAATAAATTCTATAAGCGCTACATAGAAAGCGGTGATGCTGCTGACCTTGATCGGTACAAACAACATAAGCGTGAGTTTGAGTTCCTCAATAAATTCTTGTACAGCCAATATATTGCTGATATAGAGTGTAAACTAACTACCAGTCCTAAAGCATTCTGGCACTTTGTCAATTCTAAACGAACAACCTCCTACTTTCCTTCCCATATGTCATATGAAAGTCTTTCAGCTTCTTCAGATATTGGGGTCGCTAATCTATTTGCTAAGTACTTTGCATCTAACTTTGAACCGAGCTCGCTGTGGAATGACGATGATTCACTCAGTGCCATTGCCACGAAGCTAAACGTTGGGTGCTTAGATTTTACTGATTTGGACTGTCATATGGCGGCTGAGCGTTTTAACGACTCAGGAAAATTAGACTGCGATGGCCTTTCTCCATTTATTTTGAAAAACTGTATAATTGTTCTTTGTGAGCCCCTAAAAATGAAATTCAACAAGTCTCTTCCACTGGCGTATTTGCGCATAGATGGAAACTTGCCACAGTTTCTCCCATATTCAAGTCTGGTTACAAAAACATTGTTTCAAATTATAGGCCAATTGCAAAGCTAAGTAATGTCTCAAAAATGTTTGAACGAATTGTAGCTAAGCAGCTAATTTTTCTTGCTGGTCGGATCATCAGTCCTAACCAACATGGTTTTATGTCTGGAAGGTCAACTACCACTAACTTATCTACGTTTAATCTTTTTTGCATCCACTCGTTCATCAGTCACCATCAAGTTGATGTAGTCTACACCCACTTCGCCAAAGCATTTGACAAAGTCTCCCATAATGCTCTATTGGCAAAATTGCAGAAATTGGGATTTCATTCATCAATATTAAATTGGCTTAAATCTTATTTAGATGGGCGGATTTATAGAGTAGAGTGCAATGGTGTTTTCTCAAGCCCGTATGTGGCTACTTCTGGCCTTCCTCAGGGAAGTGCATTGGGTCCGTTTCTATTCATCACCTTCATTAATGATTTAAGCTATTGCATAACAAATTCTGAATTCCTGTTGTTTGCGGACGATCTCAAAATATTTAGGTCTGTGAAATCAATCTCCGATAGTGAACTTCTTCAAAATGACCTTGAAAAGGTGGGAAATTGGTGTTCCCGTAACAAGTTGCCTCTGAACGTGTCAAAATGTTTCTACGTTAGGTACAGCAAACGATTAATTAATGTCCTTAGCTGGTATTCCATTAGTTCCAATGTTCTTTCCTTAAGAAATGAATCACTGGACCTAGGAGTTATGTTTGATACCAAATTTACTTTCATTGATCACATAAATTACATAATTCCAAAGGCATACGCTATGTATGGTTTTGTAAAACGAAATTCCACGCAATTTAAAGATCCGTACACGAAACTAAGCCTATTTTTTTCGTTTATTAGGTCCAGATTGGAGTATGCTTCGTTTGTCTGGAGTCCGACTGGTACTACACACATCAATCGTATTGAGCGTGTTCAAAAAAAATTCCTATCTTTTGCCCTTCTTTCTCTAAACTTTAATGACCCGGTTCCCTCTGCGAAATGTCGTCTTGTGCACCTTTCTTCCCTACAAAATCGTAGAACAACTAGCGTACTAGTTTTTATTTGTGACCTGCTGTTCTCCAAAATAGACTGCCCTGCATTGCTGAGTAGCATAGGCTTTTCCGTACCTGGTAGGTCTTAAAGGTCATTTGAACCTTTTTTTATTCCGGCCTATAGAGCTAACTATGCTTTTAATGAGCCTCTGTGTAGAGCCTTGTTCTACTGGAACAAACTTCCATCTCACATGCGGCTGGACCCATGCTCCCCCACGGAATTAATTAAGAAAACCCTTTACAATTATTTTTCGTCCCTTAGTATTTAGTTTAGTAATAGACAAGTAGCCAGTTAAAGTACCAACTGTTGGCGAAATAAATAAATAAATAAATAAATAAATCTCCAAGGGTACTACAAGGCGGCGTATCTCCGAGCGGGGTGTGCCCGAGTCGGTCATCAGCTCCGACAGTGACGTTGAGTTGGTGGAAGAACCGCGGGTGGAGCAGAGGCGATGGCGGCTTCGAAGGCCGTCAACCAGGCCAACGGCCGCATCCCGACTGGCGCGGCGGAGGTCGAGTGGGCCAGCAAGGAGCCGCCCCACGACCAGCAGGCTCCCGGTAGCCATGCCGAGTCCGTGGCAGCGGCTACGATGGAGTATTGCCGGAAGTGCGAGGCGCGACGGCGGAGCGAGGAACGGCGGTTAAAGGAGATGGAGGAGTCGCCGGAGTGGCAGGCCCAACTGCGGACAGCCGAGGAGGAGGAGCAGCGGCTGTGGGAGAACCCGGGGTACCCACCCATTCCGAGATACGCGCCCGAGCCCTGCATCCCGCCACCAGAAGTGGCAGAAGATTCGGCGGCCTCACCTTCGCGGTGGCTGCCCGAGATCCCACCCACACCGCGGTACGAGGGATCACTGCAGTGGACGTTAGCACGACCACCCATGCCGAAGTTCGAGCAGCCACCACCGCAGCAACAACCCGAACAACTCGAGCAGCCACCACCGCAGCAACAATCCGAGCATCGACAGCAGCAACAACACGAGCCACGCCAGCAGAAACAACCCGATCCGCTGCAGCAACGGCAAGGGGACCCGATGGGACACCACATCCGGACGTACATCCCGGTGGCCCACTTGAGGCACAGCACCCGGACGTTTTGGCGAAAGGGGTAAGGAGGCGGCAGCAGACGGTCATCTGAACGTGGTCGGAGGGACCCGCGGAGGAGACGGCGGCGGCGGCGGAGGAGCCCCGGAAGAGGGATGTCCCCGGTTAAGCCCACTGGAACCACGGACCCGCGGCAGACCGGAGCCATGGGTCCCACCGGCACCGAGCACCTGACCGACGACAACCGCACAAGCAACAACGGACGGCACGACGGCAGCACCGGAACAGGACGAGCCGCTGGAAAGAGGGCCCTGGGTGTGGCCCGAACCCGTGGACAGTGGCCGTCCGCCGCTAAAACGGCAGCACTCCGCCCCCGAAATCGCCGAGGTGGTAGTTAGGCCAAAGTGAGCCAGCTGAGCCAGCTGCACGAATCTCGTAGCGAGCAGACCACAAAGTTCAGTTCGTTACATCTGGCGCCCAAAACGTGATTGTCCCAGCAGTGAAAGCAAATTAAAGCAGAATGGGAAAGAAGTGAATCTACCGCCTCAAGGAGGAGGATTTCCCCTATGTCGCAGGGAGGCTTAATGTCGGCATTGTCGGAATATTTCTCAGAAACGGAGAACGACCAACGACTCATCGACATCTGGGCAGAGCTGGAAGCTACATGCCACGACAGAGCAGACCCAAGCATCTCGAACGCTGAAGGGGACAAACTAGTGGCAAGAATGAGCATTGACAACTTGCAAAAGAAGGCCTACAGGAGGGGGTCAAGCCAAGACAGGAAAACAGCAGCGCTGACACCGAGACCCAGTAAGTCAGACTATGAAATGGTCGCTAAACAGGTCCGCGATTGGTCGCTTAGGTTCGAAAAGTCCGCCAACACATACGGCTTGGATTTAGACATGATCCCCCGAGCGATGCCTTAAGGGAAGGGTTCATCGCCAACAACAAGCAATGGAAAACCTGGGCAGAGTTCATAGATAGCTTCCATACATACTTTCTGGGGAGAGACTTCTTCACCAGGCTGGCGGATCAGGTCATGCAACGGAAGCAGGGCTTCAGCGAGTCGTTTAAAGAGTACATGATCGATATTCAGACAATGGTGAGGCCACTTAATTATTCTTCGAAAGACACCTTAAGGATCATCAAGCAGAACTGCACCCCAAGTCTAAGGATCTTGTTAAGGGCGTACAAAGTGTCGGACCTGGATACGCTAATGATATTAGCCGATGAGTACGAAGAACTCGAAAAAGAACGGGAAGCGTTCACATAGGAGAACAACTTCTCGAAGACCAAGTCGGCATCACCAACGCAGGTCACATGCAGAAGATGCATGAGGCAACAGGCACACCTCGCGGAGGCCATTGGACACTACCCCAACAGCAACAGAGGCAGCCAACAAACACTTTGTGGAGGCCACCAAGCACAACACAAAGGTCTCATGAAACGACACACATCACAGACCCCCAGGAGGCCGAGAGTGCGGCGGTCACAGACACTGTGCGCGCGGATGTCGACACCAACGCCTGTTGTTTTGCTGGGTGTGCGGTAGAGTAGACGTCAGGAGCGGCGAATGCTGCCAACAGACGGGAAATGGCCAGCGATCTCAGCCGCAGAGAGGCGAGTGGGGGTCGCGAGATGCTACCTCTCCAAACTAACGGGCAAGCTGATCGAGGAGGAGCAGCAGTTGTCCCCATCGGCGACGATTGGTGGAGGCACGTTCAAGGCTACAATCGACACCGGGGCAACAGCAAGCTTCATAAGCAAAGAACTGGGGGACAACCTGGCTGCCCTGGGGAAGATTACGATGACACGACGGCAAGTTAGGTTGGCAGGCGGAAGATGCGGCGGAATCGATGCACAGCTGGAGGTGGAAATCGCATTCGGCAACAAGCGACTGACATGAGCCTGCTGATACTATCAGGGGTAGTGGATTCATTGATGTTGGGATGGAACTTTCTAACACAAGTTGGAACCGAGATAGGGTGTGCTGGTGGTAGTCGGTGGCAGTCGTGCAACAGACAAGCGATGCAGAGCTAGCGAGCTACAACACCATGACGGGAACATCAAACATGTCAGAGCATCAGATCACGATGAAGGACGACAAACCAATCAAGCATCGATACTACCCCAAGAATCCGAAAGTTCAAGGGGGGATCAATGCGAAGGTGGACGAGCTTCTCCAAATGGGGTACATAGAGCACTCAACAAGCCCATACAGCTCTGCCATCGTGATGGTTAAAAAGAAGAAGGGCAAGTGGAGGCTGTGCGTCGACTTCAGGCAACTCAACGCCAAGTCTATAAAGGATGTCTACCAGATGCCCGAATAAATTATGTTCTCGACCAACTGAGGGAAGCACGGTACATCAGCAGTTTGGACCTGAAATATGGGTACTGGCAAATCCCACTGAAAGAAAGCAGCAGGCAGTACACGGCGTTTACAGTGCCGGGAAAAGGCTTATTCCTGTAAAAAATAAGTAATGCCGCTCGGACTTCATTCGTCGTCGGCGACCTTTCAACGGGTGCTGAACCATCTGATCGGTCCCGAAATGTCACCGCACGCATTTGCTCACCAGGATAACATCATAATGATCGGGCGCACGCTAGAAGAACACAAGGCGAATCTGATAGGAGTGCTCCGGCGGCTAAAGGAAGCAAATCTGTGGTTAAGCTCGGAAAAATGCCAATGTTTCAAAAAAGAACTGTTGTATCTTGGTCATCGAGTGACTAGCGAAGGAACAGGCATGGATAAGGAAAAGTTTGCAGCCATCGCCGAACTAGAACCACCAACACCACCTTGGCGTATCATCATGGTACCGCCGATTTGTACCTGACTTCGCAAACCTCTCAACCTTCAACCTTGCAACGCAAGGCCAACAAGTGGGTGTGGACACAGGAAAACCAGGCGGCATTTGAAGAGATAAAGGCAAGACTCGTTGCAGACCCCGTACTGGTGTGCCCGGGTTCCGACAAACTATTTATCCTGCAAACGGACACGAGCGACTACGGCATCGGGGCATTTTTGACCCAGGAAACTGAAAGAGGCGAAAAGGAAAACTCCTACTCAAGCGAATCGCTAAACGACGCTTAGAAGAACTACTCAACGACCGAGAAAGAGTGCTTGGCAATCGTCTAGGCGATCCGCAAACCTAAGCCATATCTGGAAGGTTTCCACTTTAAAGTAGTAACCGACCACATGGCCCTGAAGTGGCTCAACACCGCGGATTGAAAGCCCTTCAGGGAGGATCGCCAGATGGGCCCTGGAGTTGCAGCAGTACGACTACCAAATAGCGTACAGGAAAGGACAACTCAACGTGGTGGCAGACGCTTTGTCAAGGCAGCCACTACCAGAAACGCTTCGAGGGTCCAAGGAGACATCGGCGGCGGAAGCTTCTTCCACAGGCTACACACCGTCGTTTATCACCCAAGGCAGAGAGCCAAGCGCCCTAAACGACAGAGAGACCTTAGGGACCGGACGATTAGCTGAGAAGGAGCAGGCCAACAGAATCAGGGAAATCTTCGAGATTGTAAGGCGAAATCTGGAGAGAGCCTCCCACGATCAGGCTAGGCATTATAACCTAAGGAGGAGGCAATGGACGCCAGCGGTGGGTGACGTCGTGGTAACTCCAAGGATTCTCAAATAATACTACGAAATAACTCCAAGGATTCTTAATGGATACTACGAAATGACTCCAAGTATTTTCAAAGAATACTACGAAAAGACTCCATGGATTCTCAAAGGATACTAAGAAAAGACTCCAAGGATTCTCAAAGAATACTGCGAAATAACTCAAAGGATTCTTAAAGGATACTACGAAAAGACTCCATGGATTCTCAAAGGATTCCACAAAATGACTCCAAGGATAGCTCCAAGGATTCTCAAAGGATACTACGAAATGACTCCAAGGATAACTCCCGGGATTCTCAAAGGATACTACGAAAAGACTCCATGGATTCTCAAAGGACACTACGTAATAAGTCCAAGGATAACTCCAAAGACTCTCCAAGGATAGTGCGAAACAACTCCAATAATAACTTCAAGGATAATACGAAATAGCTACAAGGACACGATAAGCTTTCATTGCGTTTAGACGTGCTTAAAATTTTCGCTATGTTACTTCCCCGCTGTCCCGAATGCAAAACCGATGTTACATTGGCCCAGCTTCGCGCTTCGGATGCTGTTCGCTGCTCTTCTTTGTGCCGTCGCGCCTATCATACTTCTTGCGTAGCCCTACCGGACGATGTGCTCAAACTCTTATTAAATCCAAATATACTGTGGCAATGTAATAGCTGTGTGGTTGCGAATGATTCGCATTCTAAAATCGATGAATTCGATGATAAATTGAAAGCCCTGGAGCGCTTATACCAGGGCCTTCATAATAAATTCTTGGAGGCGTTCCTCCTAAAGATGTTGCATTGAATCAGAATGTAAATTCCAAGCCTCGTCTGCCGAGACCTACCAACGTAGCTGCAGCTCCCCAATCATATGCGGCTGCTGCTGCTACGACTTCCGCGGTCGTTGATCCTTCTAATCATGCTCTGGATATTGAGAGAGGAAATTTCACACAAGTTCGAAATAAGAGGAGAAGGAACAACAACAAGCCCAATAAACATGTTGTTGGAGTGGCTCCTAATGCCGAAGATCTTCATGTTTTGCCGACCAAGAAATTTTTGCATGTCGGAAAGTTTGCAACTGATACAGAGCCGAACACTGTTTTAAAATACGTGTCCACCAAGCTTAAGGTGGATGCTAGGTCTTTCACTTGTGTAAAACTTGTAAAAAAAGATGTTGACGTTACAACTTTAAAGTTTGTAAATTTCAAGCTTGGAATCCCCGATCAGCTTTACGATAAAGTCTTCAAAAACGATTTCTGGCCGAACTCAGTTAAGGTCAAAAGATTTATTCATAGAGAACGGGCCATTGTGGTAGGGCATGGAATCTTATCTAATTTGCCGGAGCCTGGACAAACTTCATCATCAATTCAGCCATCAAAAAACCCCTAGTGTTCGACGCCACTGGCGTCGATACTTTTGCGGGACATCGTCTGCAAGCCTTTCCTCATTTGTC